TGTCTCTCAGTAATTGCTAGAAAAAGCCGGCAGGAAACTAGTTTGGTGTAAAAGAACTGAACAGTGCCACCAATCAGCTCAACCCAACAGAAAGGATATATCACACACAACTACAGAAAATAGCACTCTTTTTAAATGCATATGAAACATTTACCAAGCTATGTACAAATGAAAAAAAAAATAAGAAAGCCACTATTGAGTATCCCCATCTGTGAACATGGTATGCTTGTTTATTTAGAGCTGCTTTTAGAATTTTCAATAAAGATTTATAGTTTCTTAATACAATTTTCCATGTATATTATTGGGTTCATTTCTAGGAAACAATTCTTGTAGCTAGTGTGATAATTTATTTTCCATTACATGTTCTACTTAGATGTTGCTGGTATATAGGGAAAATACTAAATTTTATATGTTAATTTTGAATCTAGCCAGGTAACTAAACTCTTAGTCCTATATGTCAGTTGTTTACCTTGATTTTTTTTGTTTTTGGTACAGATACCTAAAATTAATGAATTTCATTAATTCTTTTTATCATTTATGACTCAACTTATTCTGTTGGCTAGGCACTCCAAAGTGAATAGTAGATATGATAGCATGCATATCTTATTATTAACTTTAATGACAGTGTTTCTGATGTTTTATCATTGAGTGTGATATTTGCTGTAGATTTCCAATGTTCCAACATGGTCACATGGTATTCTTCTTTAGCTAGGTATGTAATGTAGTCATCTGTAAATTAAGCATAACTCCACTCAAAATTGCGATGGGACCATTTTATTAAATACGTATCTAGAAAAAAATACGAGAGGAGACTCTGGTGACTTTTGACCATCTCTGCAGTTACCACTCTGGTCCAGCGTAGTATCATCTGTGCCTGGGTTTTCACATTAGCCTTGAAACTTGTTTTCGCCTTTGCCCTCTCCACCACCCCAGTACTACCCTCTACAATCTAATCTTAGCATTTCAGCTGGAGTGATCCTTGAGTGAATTGCTTCACTTAATCCTCTCAATAAATCTGTAAATTAGAATCTCCATTTTACAGAAGAGGACATTTTTTGGAAAGGTTAAATAATTGAAACAAGGTCAGACAATTTAGCAAGAAGCAGAGCCAAGGTTAGAATCCAGTATTTCTGATTCTGTAGCCTGTTCTCTTTAACATTAGCCTGTGCTGTATTTTTATTAACTCTTTCTGTATTAGGATTGTCTTACTATGTTTAGAGGAAGCTCAGAAATGTTAGATATATGTGGTAGATGAGACTCCTGTGAGATGTGTGACTTGGTCTCATCTAAAATGTGCTTTAATTTTACTGTGAATCACATCTTTCATCCCATTATGACATCTTTGGTGTTTATATTGTGATAAAGAAGAATCAAAATGTACATTTTAAAACCAATCTTTTATTCATAAGTGTATTATCTTTTTTCCTTAGTTTCTCAGGCTTAAACCTTTTATCCTATGGTGTGTTTGATTGCACTTTTAACTGTGGTGCTGTAATAAGCTCAATTTTAGTGATCACAGAACCTGACTGTTGAAATACGTTATTTTTAGAAGTGCTGGGTTTATGATAATAATGAAAGTTGTATCATGTTGTTATGGCAACCAAAATCCTAAAGTACTGATTAATGACAAGCTCACTGATTCTGGAAGTAAGCAGTTCATTTCTTATCACAGCCAAGTACTTTAAATAATTATTTCAAATACACTTATTTTCATTGAACATACTTTAAAATGAGAATGATATCTCCATTTAGCTATACTTTAATCTTTATTAGTATTTTTGAGATTTATAATACTGGATTTTTATGGCATTATGACACTTATAATTGGACAATTAAATTTCTTAATGCATAGTATTGCCATCCATAAGTAACTAAAATATGTTGCCTTTCTGTAAAACTATGTAACAAGCTCATCTTCTCCATTTCTTCTTTTTTTGGTTGCACATTAGCTATATGATTATCTTTGATATGTGGTGTACTGCTATATTCACACATCTATGTGTGTGTGTACGTATGTGTATAAATAGGCACATGGAGATTTTTTTAAACAGTTCATTAAAATGCTCTTAACTCAATGAAGTGATATAATTTAAAAGCTGAAAGTGTCTTATAAAGATTGTCGAGTTCAATATTTTGTTTTACCATCGTGAAATTAGTCCTGGAAAGGTTAAATTACGTGTTCAAGGCAGCAGTAAGTAGCAGAACTTAACTGGAGTCAAGATCTTCTGACAGTATTGTCCTTCACGATACCATTGTAACTCTACCGTGTATAATTCATTAGGAAAACGTTAGTGAACATCAGGGTGTGGACCCGCACCGGCTTTGGTAGTGATAAATGAACTCTTAACATTTGTCCAGGAATATGGAGTCACGATCAGTCACAGTTTTTGTTCTTCACATCTTGAATTTGACTCAGATTCCCTTTCCATTGCATTTCTAGCCTGCTGGCTTTAGCAGCTGCCAGGCCAGGAGGAACCGTTCTTTCCCCTGCCCTTTTTTCTTCCCGCTACATGAAAGACCAGTTTGTCTGTGAGTTCCGATATCTCTCGTTTTGTTCAGCTCAACTGTGTTTTTCAATTTAATCCCTCCCCTGTCTTGGTGGCTTCTTAAACTGGGGAGCAGAATGGGGAAGCCCTATAGCATCAAACAGCAACATCTAAAATAAATGATAAGCTCTTGCTTGGTTTTATTGGCTTGATTTTATTTAATTATTTGTGTCTCAGCAATATTGCTGTATTCTGGTTCTCTCCACTGAAGATTTATAATGATTTTTTGGCTATATTGTGAATTATAGACATTTTTGTAAGCTAGTTTAGCTTATAAATAAAAATGTGCCTTGAGTTACAGCTAAGCTTTAATAACTTTAAAATTTTTCATCATTTGTACTTGAAATTAGAATTTAAAATTTATTACTTCAGAATTTTCAATAATTCATTCTACATTCACCAGTTGGTAACTGGATTTTTTAATGTATTTAATATAAGTTATACCTTACTCTGATTTTAAACTTCTTATGAGCAGGATTAGCCTTGTTTCTATGTATTCCTTATGTAGTGTAAGTATACACTGTGTTCAGATTGAGTATAGATTTTAGAGTTTGAGGTGTGAGTAATGAATGCCTTATATACCTCCAAAAATCCTACTGCATTTTAGTAAAGAACTAAAAGTGCCATATCTAAAATCAGTCATTTAACTCGTTGCAAAATGGGTATCAAATGTATATTGAATTTAACAAATTTTTAAAATATTATTTTTCAGCTGTTTCATTTATGGAAAATAATTTTTGCATCATTTTGATGCATTTATTGTTAAGCTCAATTAACTATATGAATGATCACCAATCAATGATAGATCAAAAAATTATGTCAAAGCCTCATCTAGCTAAGTAGATTTCCAAACCAGTCTCTACCATCCTCCCTTCAACGAGAGGAGGTAGTGCTGAGCCAGTAGCATTACTCCGCTCCGCTCAGGGAACTTACTCAGTGTGTCTTCCTTCTACCCACTCTTGTTCTGGAAGTTTTAGCAATTTTTGGAAAATGTCAGGTTGCTCCAACACACCAGGAGTTTGAGATCCCATCAGAACAGGGTGCTGATGGTGGTCCAAGATCATAAGTGGATATCCTCTTCACTCCTTCCAACTAGTTTTGTTCTTTTCTAGACCACAGATACACATATTTTCACAGATACTCTCACAAATGTATTATTGGTCATGGATGTTCTGAAAAAAGTGATTGTTTCTAGCTCTGAGGATCAGCAAAGACTTCATGGATGAGAGTACATTTTTACTGAGAATTAAGGGCATTTAAAGGTGGGTGACAGACATTCTAGGCAAATGAAAGTATATGAGTGAGCAAAGGACTTGGGGGTCAGCAAGAGCAGGGCAGAGAGAACTGGCAGGAGCAGAACGCGAGTAGTGCTACAGAAGGGTTTGTAAAGGGTTTGAGATACGGTGAGGAATTTTGACCTTGAAACCTTGAAACCAGAAGAAGCCACTGAAGCTCCTTGAAGAAAGGCCTCAGGTAAGCAGAGACATGGTAAAACATGTGCTTGTTCAAGATGAACAGTGGTGCTTATGATACACTGAATGTGGAAGAGACTGGATGGGGATTTTTCTTCTTTCCTCCAGGCAAAGTTCATTAGGTCTGAATTGAGGTAATGAGCCAAGGCTACACTATTGACAAAAACAGGAAGCATAACAAGAAAAGTACGTTTGGGAGTAAAGCTTGAAAGACATGTTTTTAATTTAGTTATTGTGAAAATCAGAAAAAAGTAGTGTGTTTTCATCACCAGGTATGGTGATACAGAAATAGCTGAGGATGACAAGAAGTAAATGTGGAAACAGCAAGAGTTGACGCAGATTTAATGAACCAATGCTATTTTTCTGAACATTTGCTTCAGTTTATTTAAAACTATTTCTGTTATTTTGTGTGCTTACGTAAAAATGCGTATTTGGGAAAATGCTGTGATTTGCTGTAGGCAGGTGTCACATTTTTGTGAGAGATGAGACATCTAGATGTGGTTTCTAGTGTAGAAGCAGTAGGTGAAAGGGCAATATATTTATTATAAGTTATTCTGAGATTTGAAATGTTGATAAATGTGGCTAATTGTAAGCCTGTTTCTTTAAGGTTTTTGTGTTATCAGTCGCATTTGCGAAATCAATGCATTGATGGCGAGTCACGGTTTCTGTTTCTTGTCTAGTAATCCACTACGTATCAGGCACTGTTCTATCCCTAAAGGTAAAGCAGTGAGCAAAACACAGTTCCTGCCTTCCTACAGCCTACAAACTAATAGGGAGGATTTAATAAACAGGATTTTAAAAAAAGCAAACAAAACCTTTTTTTTCCCAAAGCCAAAATAACTAACTTGTGCACGGTGATTTTTAATGACATATACGTGATAATGATGACAGTGAAATGCGTTGGTTCAGGTGTGAAGCGTTCTCACAGTTCGTAGCATCTCACTTTAGATTGTGTGTTCACATGTTGTTTGTTTATCAACAGAGAGCAGATCACAAAGCGGTCTACCGAGCTCGTCTGCAGGGCCTACGGTGACGTGTACGCGGCCGTAGTGAACCCGGCCAGCGGTTACAGGGATCCAGAGAGCATTCTGCACCGATCACCGCAGCAAGTGCAGGCACTTCTCTCCTGATTCTTTTCTTTGACTGTGGTAGCAAAACACCACATTCCTAAAACACTGAAGGTTTTCTTGGTTTTTAGTCTGTTAATCTTTACTTTTGAAATTTTCTTTGTGACAGAAGAACGTAGGTGCCAATAATTGCTTTGCTTTGGTCACGATAACATGGAATACGTAACAGGTGTTGATCTGAGTCAGCCTTGCTCAGTATCTGCGCTCCACGTGGAGATGCTCTGCTCTCTACAAACGGTCTCTTCAGCTCTGCAGGTTCCCCTCAATTCTGGAATATAAATATATGGAAAAACAGTAGCATCAGATTTTTTTTTTACAAGATTAGCTCCAAATTAACTGTACATTAAAAAATTATCTAAACTTAAAAATTAGTTTGAGGATATGACCTAATAAATGTCTCTATACCTAAAGATTTATTTGCTTTTTTGTTAGTTATTGTAAGTAGGTATACTTAAAATGAGGAGCAGAAATACACATTCAGTAAAAATAGGAAAAGAGAGACGTAATGTAGAGGTGGATTCTACTCTGTATGGCATGAACTGAATTCACAGTCAGGTTCAACACTTCAGATGGGGGTTAGATGTGTAGGCATCCTGTGCTGCATGGAAGTCTAGTGTTTAAAGAAAGGTATGTGTTATACAACGTGGACTCCAAATGCACCATTTACAAAATGGTGTTCCGACCAAGAAATAATGATCTGCTTCAACAGTGGAGGAAAAATGCCAGAGTAGCAATTGCTCATTGATGGTACGTCTAGCCCTGTGGTGGCCCCTTGCAAAGAATTATTTGACTCTGACTTTAGAACTTTACCAAGCGTAAGATTCAAAGTCATTGTTTTTTTTT